GCTGTCCGGAGAGGAAAGAGGGCCTCTTGTGCTCTAGCACAGTGACCGAGAGCGTGTCAGAATCCCGTGGCAGCTCGTACAAACCCTGCCTCTAGACTTTCTGACTCAGTAGATCTTGGCCCAAGGATTTACATCTGAGCCAGCTCACAGGGGATGCTGAGGCTGCTGCGGATCAGGCCCCACACCTTGAGCACCACTCCACAGTCCTTCCTACTCCAATTTTCAAGACATTGCTTTGCTAAGATTGTATCGCTGCCTACATGGGAAGTCATCTCATAATGATTGACATCCCTAGTGAGCATCTTGGGGGAAAAATTGGTGAGAGATCTCTGGGTAATTTATATGAAACTGTTTTGTTTTCATAATGACCAAGTAATAACTCGATGCTCCACCAGCCTAGCTGAACGTGTGTAAATGTTCTTTCACTGAAGGGATTTCAACTTTTAAGCCTCTTAGTATCCATCTCTGAGCATGGAATTCGAAGTTCTTTTTCAAACTTAAAACATTTTACATAAGGAAAGCTGAGAAAGTTAGGACAAATGTCATTCTCACCAAAGTTTAGAAACAGACTTTCTAATTTTCTTGCAACCTTCCTTCCTTCCTCCCTCCGTCCCTCCCTTCCTTCATTCTTTCCCTCCTTTCCTTCCCTTCCTTCCAGAGAGACTGGGCAGCAGGCCTGACCTGAAACATCAGTTAGTCAGCAACCCTGTAAAAAGTATGGTTTTCTGCCAATGCTTCAGCCACCACACCCATTGCTGAAACATTCCCTGGTATTTTACCTTATTCAAATCTGCTCTAAATGGATCCTGGCCAAGCTTGAAATATATCCAAAATATGCTTTTACATTTTTTTTTTAAAACCCATACTATAAAATATGAATGTTACCTCCAGGAGACTGCTTTTCCAAGGCTTTTCTTAACTTCTTTATCTTAAACCATCCGAATAGGAAACCACTAAACTGAGGACTCTTGCAAGCAGAGCTGATGTCTGAAACAAATCAGGGGTTTCTCCAGTTTGAACTACAATCTTGCAAACCCCATTCCTTTGTTGTTGTTGGTAGTTGTATTTTCTGGTGCCTTTTCCTTCAGCAAGCCATTGTAGCTATTTACAATCCAGAAATAAATCTGGTATCGTGTGAGAATTATCGGATGATAAAGTTTTTACTTCCTAAATGGTTTTGACCACCTAAAAGATGAAATTGCAATCAGTAGCTTTCTGGGTAAGCAAAGAATTAGAACAAAAGAAACTGGTTATTCTGAGTTTTATTTTGGATCTTAGGTGCATATAATTGGGTTATTCATTATCCTTTATTCATGATATATTATCATTATAAGGCCATGCATAGCCTACTTATATTCACCCATTTTTTAATTTGGTTCCTTCAAAAATATTGTTTTATTTCTAACAACCGTTTTGAATCCTAATTTTTAAAATTTGAGGTGAAACATACAGTGAAATGAACACATCTTAAATGTATTTGATGAGTTTTGATAAATGTATAAACTTGTATAACCAACACCTCCATCAGGATATTGAACAGAAAGTCCCCAGTATCTCCTTCAATCATTCACCGCTTCCTGCAAGTAATTCCTACTTTCTGTCACCATAGTTTACCTATTTTTGGATTTCACATGAAAGGAATCACATAGTACGTAGTCATTTATGCCTGACTTCTTTGGTTCAACATAATGTTATATGTATCAGTCTTTTTCATTGTGGAGTACTCTTCCATTGTATTAGAGTAATATTCCATTGTGTCGATATTAAGTATGTGAGAATGCGCAGGGGAATCTTCCTCTCAGAAATGTTTCTGCAGATATAGGAAAATCTTTATAGAGCATGGGATTTTCTGAACCCTTTTATTTAGCCTTTAAAAATACTTTGACCCAGGCATGAAAATTGACATTGCCTTATTAACACAGATGCTCACGAAGTGAGGCTGCCTCTAAAGTAGCTTAAGCCATGGGCAAGTCAGACTTTTAATAAATATGGAAGCTCTATTCTTAGCATTAGTGCTTTACCACTTCAGGTTGCTGTTCTTACTCTTCTATATAGTCCTTTAATGCCCATTTCGAATTTATTGAGACTTATTTTGTGGCCTTGTATACATGCATGGCCTGTCCTGGTGAATATAACAAGTGGATTGAAAAGAATGTATGTTCTGCATTTGGATTTTTTTTTAATATTTGTTTATTTATTTAGCTGCGTTGGGTCTTAGTTGCAGCGCACGGGCTTCTCTCTAGTTGTGGCTTGCAGGCTCTAGAGCGTGGGCTTAGTTGCTCTGCGGCATGTGGAATCTTAGTTCCCCAACCAGGGATCGAACCCACGTCCCCTGCATTGGAAGGCGGATTCTTAACCACTGGACCACTGGGGAAGTCCCTGCATTTGGATGTTTTGTTCTATAAATTCAATTAGGTCAAGACAATTGATAGTGTTGCTAACATCTGTATTATTTCCTGAATTTTTTCCTGCCTTGTCTGTCATCCTGAAAGAAGGTTGAAAAGGAGGAACAAATGAAAGATGGGACAAACAGGAAAACAATGGCAGGGCAGTAGACTTAAATCCAACCATATCAACAATTACGTTAAATATAAATGGACAGAATTTGTGTAATTCTCCCTTAATTGTGTCAGATTTTGCCTCCTGTCATTTGAAGCTCTGTTATTAGTTGTAAAAACATTTGTGATTGTTAGGGCTTCCTGATGAATTGACTCTTATCATTATAAAATACCCCTCTTTCTTTCTAGTAATACTTCTTGATTAGAAGTCATTTTTCTTCTATTAATATAGCCACTCCTCCTTTCCCAGGCTTACTGTGTCTTTGGATTTAACCAGTCTGACAATCTCTGACTTTTATTAATGTTTATTCCATTTATATTTAATGTAATGATAAATTATATGATTGAGTTTATCTACCATTTGCCATTTGATTTCTTTTTCTCCCATCTCTTCATTGTTCCACCTTTACTGCCTTCTTTTGGATTAAATGAGGATTTTATTAGTAGCCTATTTCATCAACTCAATTGGCTTTTTACTTTGTCTTTTTATTTTATAGTTTTAATGGATTATATTATATATTCTTATCACAGCCTGCAATGAATTAGTATTAAACACCTTTGTGCATAAGGTAAGAACTTTACCCCCTTTTATCCACCGAGCCATTAAGACTGTGATTTTTTTCATAAGCCCTAACCACTCTGCATCATGTGGACGGGGGAGTGCCCACAAGTGAAAAGATGTATAAATGTGAATATCACTCATTATGGTTCCCTTTACTCAAGAGCTGAATTCCTCATAGTTTCTACCTGCTTTTGGTCACTCTCCAATTTCTTTAAAATTGTTTTATATGTCATCCAGTGTTTTGTATTGCTATTTGTGGGACAGTAAGTCCAATACAATCTATTCCACTATTATCAGAACTGGAATTCCCATTTTGTCATTTTTAATAGTGTAATAATAACTTTTGAGTCCATCCCTAATTCAAAAACTTGACAGTAACCTTCATTTAGCTTTGCAACCCTTTTTCCCATTCTGTCCCTCTACGTCCCTGGCTTAAGGCAGCCATCATCCTGAATTGTGTACTATCGTTCCCTCTTTTCTTTTTGTATAGTTATATTGAATCTATATGTATTGCTAATATATGTGTGTGTATTTATATATTTGTATTTAATTGTTTTTAACTTTATAAAAAGTCTTGCTGAATTAACCAGAGACTTACTTTTTTATTTGCCTTTATATTGCATAGATTTGTCCAAACTACACTTGCATTGTTTTAGTTTATTTTGAAAACTGTATGCAGTTACATTGTGTAAATATACCAGGTTATTCATCTCCTCTCACATTGATGGACATTTGGGTTGTTTTCACGTTTTTGTCCTTGTGACAAGTCCTACTGTGAACATTTGTGTATTGCTCATGGTTATATACCTTGGGGTAAATATTGCTATATTGAAAATGAATGTAAATGTTTAATTTTAGCCCATTTTACATTCCCATTACCATTCTGTAAGAGATTCTGTGCATTCACCTCCTTTTACAGTACTTGGTGCTCTCCAATCTTTCTGCCAGCTGACTGGGTGTACAATGGTGTCACATAGTTATCTTAAATTTCTTGACTATTAATAACATTAAACATCTCTTCATATTTTTATTGGCTGAAAGTGTTTCCTCTTCTGTTATATGTCTGTTCGTGACTTCACCTCTCCCATTTTTTTAATCAATTTGTAAGAATTCTACACTTGGAATACCACTGAGCTACCACCTATATTTAACTAATTTTAATTTATTAAAGAAGTCTTTGAGTCTGTCATTCTTCCTGACCACCCTGTTTAATTTGCAAACCTCTCCAAATTCCTGACCCTCTGATCTCCTGAGGATAACTGCTCGATTTTTCTCCTTTAGCACCTACCACCTTTGCCATATTACATACATATTTATTAATTGTGTTTCCTGTCTGTCTTGTCCTTACTGTTACATGTAGGCTGCTATGTGATAAGCATAGAGATTGAGAGTAAGCATTTATAAACTTTTATAACACTTTAATGTTGTTGTCGTATTTTATTATATTAAACAAAGACTTGGTCTCTAACAAACTGGAAATTTTTTTAAAAATTGGTTCTTCACCACCATTTTGAAAAGCATGGCCTAAGTTCTCATATCTCCACGTCATAGAATTTGAAAGGTACATTTAACAGAATAGAGAAGAAATAGATAATTACCTGTCTTTCTTGGAAAAGTGTTCCTGCTCTACACAAATTATAGTTGCCAACAAAGACGAATATTTGTTTTTCTAAGTTAGTGAGGTGATGAGAGCTTTTCTAAAGTGAGCATTATTTTATTTTATCAGCATTCCCCATGTTTATAGCTGAGCCTGGCATGTGTCTGTCTCTCTTTTATATATATATATATATATATATATAGTATCTATCTAGGTACTATCTAGAGCTCTTTGAAGTTCATCTTTTAAAATGAAAGGGAATGTAAGCCACTTAATGATATAAAATTCAAGGACCATACACTCTTTGGCTTAATCCTTTGTGTTCTCAATTTTCATGCTTTGAGGTTTCCACCCTGAAGCGTGATCATTAAATCTGTGCCCCAGCTCCCTGGACTGTGCACTAGCTAAATGTGCAAGTAGATTTCTGAGAGCTCCTAGGTTCATAACCTAGCTTATTAACCCCCTGATTCCTGGGTGACTGTAAATGCGTGCCTTGGGTATTTTTATGCTGTAGTATTTCTACATAAAATGGTAGTGATATTTTATACCTTCTGAAGGGAGTGAAGTTCTGGGAAATTCTTAGATGAAATCTATGAATACTATAAAATCAAAGTAAGATTTCACAGTGATTAAAGGGCATTTTATTAGAGTGAATGCACAGTAGAGAACTGATCTAAGCAGCTGTTTATCAGAGCTGTAAATATGTTTGCAAAAATAAAGCGGTAAGACCTGGTTACTTGGAAACAGAGGGCAAAGGTTTCTTTTAAGCAACATATCCTTTATTTCCCAGGTGTTTGCTACACCACAGTATCTGCAAAGTAGCAAGAGCCTTACTTAGGCCTGTTGGGAGAATTTATGTGGGTGCTTAGCTGGTACCTGAAATGTATTAATTAATATTGAAAATCACATAATTTACCTTTTTCCTGTTAATGACCAAATTTTTTGCAAGGATAATTTCATTTTATTTTTAAACTGGTAAAAGAGTGAGTAGATTGTGACACAATTTCAGCCTAAACCTATCTGTGAGATAGGATCAGAGAAACAAAAATTTAATATTATAGTGGAAATCAGACAGACCTAGTTTAAAAACTGGTTTTTGTAAACTGGTTTTTGTTATACTTACTTGCTGTCTTTTCAGGCGAAGATCAACAAACATCTTTGATCTAATTTATAAAATGAAGAGGAATTTATGCATTTTATAGGGTTCCTCTCATGATAAAGAATTGTGGATAATTTATATTAATGTGTCGGAACCACTGTAGGCACTCAGTACATGATAGCTATTGTTACGTTGCAAAATACCAGTAGATGTGTATGTGCTTATTATATATGTTCCTGAACCATTTTCTTAGACAGATCTTACGGTAATTCCCTATTGCGGAAAAAAAAAAAAAATTAAAGTCAAAATTGAGAGAGCAGAGATTAGGTGGGGCTGGTGCAGAAAGAACAAGTCTTATCTATGTAGCATCCCTCATGGCCCTGAGCCGAGTTCCACAGCCACCTCTGATGACCTCACAGAGACCCAGAGCTCTACAGAGTACAGCACGGAAACCATCCTACTGGAGTTTAAACACCGTGGGTGCAAGAACTGTATTGTACTTATTTTATTAACTGATCAGTTATAGCATGTGGTCCTGCAGTACAGTAGGCAGATGAATGGTCATAGTTTGTTAAATGATTCATTTAATTCAGCTCTAATACTTCACAAATTCTCTGTATTTGACTGCTAGGTGGAGTTATAATTTGATGTTGAATTATCAAACCTGCCAGGAAGCATGTGTCATTTAAGGATGTAATGATAACATCATTATTTTTTGAGATCTAGGTTGGAATTTGCCCTTGACAAATAGCAAAATGATGAGTGATGCAAGTGACATGTTGGCTGCGGCGTTGGAGCAGATGGACGGTATTATAGCAGGTAATCTGCATCCTCTAAAAGACGCAATCATGACGTTTACTTTGCTCTCTTGACTTTTTTATTACAACTCTTTTATTACCTCTCCACTTTCATATTTTCATTTATTGTCTCTCTCCAATGCCTTTAGGTTCCCCATGGTTTCATCTTTGTCCCTCTTCTCCAATTTTTGCCAGAATTATTCTTAAATTTTATTTTAAAATGTCAAAAATTCTAGTACCATCCTGGGCTTCTAATCCAGGATAAAGGTGATTCTCGTCCAGATAATCTGTGGACTGCACTTGGAGGGATACTGCTCTACCCAGTATCCAGGAGTGTTTTGATCTTTTCCCTTGAATTCCACATTCACTTTTCCACCAGTGACTCTCACATCTATTTATTTTTCCAATTCTTTGATATTCTTCAGGTCCCTATCTCTACCAGCCAACCAGGTACTCCCCTGAAATGTCCTGTAGACACACACATCAGTGTCATCATTTAAAACATTAAGCTCATTATGTGTATAACTGATTCGCTTTGCCGTACACCTGAAACTAACCCAACATTGTAAATCAACTATACTCCAATAAAAAATTAAAACAAACAACAACAAAAAAACCCATTGAGCTCATTATCTTTCCTCAGAAGCCCCTCTAGTTGTCTTTGTCTCGGCTAATTTCATAGTCCTCCATCGTACAGTTTCCTAAAACAGAAGTTTAAGTCATGCTAGACACTTCCCACATGTTCCCCCACTTAGTTAATCAAATTCTATCAATTCTACCTCCTACCAAATTCTCCCATTCCCTCCTCTCTAAAATCTGTCTTGTCTGTGCTACCATTGTCTTGCTTTATCTAAATAACCCTCTCACTTGATGTCCCTGACACTCTTGCTTTCCTGCTCTAGTCCATCCTTTTCCAGACCACCAGAATCTTTTTTCCAAAATGCCAATCTGATCATCTTCTTTTTAAAAAATCTTCAGCAATTCTCTATTATAGAAGCTGAGCAAAAGCAGTCGACTATCATCTCCTTGTTTTCTCATCATAACTGAGGGGACTGACTAGTGGATGAGCCCTTTTCACTCCCTCGCAGTCCCCCAGGAGTGGTGGCTACCTAAGGTCTCATGTCATATTTTGTGTTTTGTCTCAAGAGGAGGACTTTCATGTGTTTAGGAACCAATTACAACGAGGAGATGTCTGAATGGGCTTCGGGTGGGCTTGTCTTGCACACACCTGGTGGTCGGGGTCAGGGTACAGTTGGTCTCTACCGGCTACCAGGGCCAGGATATAGTTGTCCTGGCCCCAGCTCCTTCGCTTTTCTGGTCACAAATTGGACTCTACTCTGCTTCGGTGGTTTGAAGAAATCAAAGGTATTTTCCTCTTCAGAAGGTTCTTCTCGTCAGGGGAGTGTCATGTGGGGTCTGACCTCCTTTGTTATACTTCTATGTCCTGGAGACCCAGCTTCAATTGGACCTCTTTTGTAGATTAGACCACACCTTGAGTACTGTATTCGATTCTTAGAATATTATTTTCAAAGTGTCATTGGCAAACGAAAACTTACCTAGAGAAGGTAAGCGTGAAGGTGAAGAGTTTAACAAACTAAGGAACTGGTTATGTTTAACCTAGAAAAGTGTATTCTTGCTCAGGGCATAATATTGGGTTGGCCAAAATGTTCCTTCAGTTTTTAAGTAAAAATAAAAGACACATTTTTCATTTTCACCAAGAACTTTATTGAACAGCATATTCACCCTTCTGTTCCACTACCTTCTGCCATTTTTCAGGCAACTCCATAATTCCGTCTTCACAAAACTTTTAATCTTTTTGAGCAAAGAACGGTTCCAGGTGCCTTTTACAGTCTGCCAGGGAATTGAAATTTTTTCCATTAAGAGAATTTTGTAAAGATCAAAATAAATGGAAATCTGAAGGTGCAATGTCTGGTGAATACAGCAGATGAATCAGAACTTCCCAGCCAAGCTGTAACAGTTTTTGCCTGGTCGTCAAAGAAACATGCGGTCTTGCGTTATCCTGATGGAAGATCATGCGTTTTCTGTTGACTAATTCCGGATGCTTTTCGTCGAGTGCTGCTTTCAGTTGGTCTAATTGGAGCAGCACTTGTTGGAATTAATTGTTTGGTTTTCCGGAGGGAGCTCATAATAGAGGACTCCCTTCCAATCCCCCCGTATACACAATATCACCTTCTTTGGATGAAGACCGGCCTTTGGTGTTGGTTGGTGCTGGTTCATTTCGCTTGCCCCACGATCTCTTCTGTTCCACATTATTGTACAGTATCCACTTTTCATCGCCCGTCACAATATGTTTCAAAAATGGAACGTTTCCCTTATGTTTAAGTAGAGAATCGCATGTGGAAATATGGTCAAGAAGGGTTTTTTTGCTTAACTTATGTGGAACCCAAACATCAAAGCAGTTCACATAACCAAGCTGGTGCAAATGATTTTCAATGCTTGGTTTGGATATTCTGAGTATGTCGGCTGTCTCCCACGTGGTATAACGTTGGTTGTTCTCAATTAATGTCTCGATTTGATCACTGTCAACTTCAACTGGTCTGCCCGACCGTGGAGCATCGTCCAGCAAGAAATCTCCAGCATGAAACTTCGGAAACCACTTTTGACACCTTCTAATAGTCACGGCACCTTCTCCATACACTGCACAAATCTTTTTTTTTGCGTTTCAGTTGTGTTTTTACCTTTCTCGAAATAATAAAGCATAATATGCGGAAAATGTTACTTTTTTCCTTCCATCTTCAATGGCTACACAAAAGTTCCCTAATTTTGATGTTTTTATTGAATGCACGCTGATATGACAGCTGTCACATGCAATCTAACAAAATTGTTTCGAAGTTAAAGACAACTAAGCGCTATTAGAGCCATCGTACAGAAAACCCGAACGAACTTTTTGGCCAACCAAATGTATGCTTTTATTTTTTTAATTAAAAATTTTTTTTTATGTTTTAACTTCCTTTTAAAAAATTGAGATACAGTTGATTTGCAGTGTTAGTTTCAGGTGTACAGCAAAGTGATTCAGTTATACATATATATATTCTTTTTTCAGATTCATTTTCATTACACTTATTACAGGATATTGAATATAGTTCCCCGTGCTATACAGTAGGTCCTTGTTGTTTATCTGTTTTATATGATATATGCTTTTAAATAGTTGAAGGACTATTCAACCATTTACTCTGTCACAGTTTCAGAAAATATAACAACTAGAACCGATTCTAGGCTCTTACCAGAGGTTATGTGTAACCTTACACTTTTAGTGAACCTCTAGTCAAGGAGAGTGGTATTTCTGGAACAGTAGTTGAGGGATTACATTTTACATATTCCACTAGATTGGTGTATTTGTTCCTCAGCCCTGGCAGGGCTTCAGGACCGACATTAGAGTTATTAAGAAAATCCAGATTCCCCAGCTCCCACCTCAGACTGAGTCAGTCAAAGCTTTGTGGGTAGGACCTGGATTTATGTTTTGAAATTACCATCAGTATTTCTCCAGCTGAGGTAAGAGGGAGAGGAGGAGAACTGACTACAAACATTTGGGGAATTTTTCTGAATACATACCTCTCCCCTCTCCCCACCTTGTTTTGTGATGGAGACTGAACAGAGCAGAGGGTTACCATGGGCTCGTGTGCTTTTTAATGATATCATCAGATGATCCTAATACTTAAAACTGCTGGAATAGGACATTATAATCTGTCTGGGTTTTGATGCTTTTCTGTTCTTCCTTCCTCTCGACATACTCTCCTCTATTTTTTCTGAGTTCTCATCTCAACTTTACAGGGTTTCCTGAGGGGGTTGGTTGAGACAGTTATGTGGCTCCATTAGCGTTTACCACTGTGCATATCGGTGGTCACCATCAACACAATTTGGTAGATGTTTGGTTCAAATCTTGTGGTCCAGTATTAGGAATATCAATGGAATGAACCAGCTGAAAGAGAATTCCTTTCCCCATTGTGAGAACTGGCCAACTGGAGAGAGAACTTACACATTGGCTCACAAGTTTCATCAGTCGTAAGACCTTCAGATTTGTGAGGTGATGGCCTAAAATCATAACTGTTGAAATTTAAGTAGAAAGTTAGTATGTATATTTGATAGTATGTATATCTGATAGACCAGAAGATAAAAATCAAAGAGATGAAGAGGTGTATATGGGTGCTTTCAGAATGGGCTGTGGGTCAGTTGTATGGATTTAAGTAGTAGAATGTTTTCTCTAATAAGTAATAGAAAACAAAAAGGGCTGTAAAACTACGTTTTCAAGCTGGTGTTATCAAGAGCATTTGATAGTAGGCTGCAAACAAAATCGTGGGGGGGAATGTTTATACACACATGCACATGCATATACAAATGTACACATGTAAGTTATTGAAGTTCTTCAGAGATTAAATTCTGATCAGTTAACTGGGAGCTGGCCCTCTTACCTTTGAAATTATGCTATGCAATTTCCACCTCAATGTGCAACTTATTTACAGGGCATTTAGAGTTTATGGTTTCTAAAATTTGTATTTTGGGGAATACATGGCTCCACCCAAACTGATCTGCTACCTTATCTTAGCCCTTGTTTCCTTGAGGTCAGCATATCTTACCCCAAAGCCTACCATACTCTTACTACTCCACACAGCTGGCCCCCCTGTTAGATATTTGATCATTGGTATTTATCATCAATTGCATGGTTTTTATTATTTCACCAAATGACTATGCCTTGGAGAGGTTTACGTGATTGAATTCTCTTTTCCCTGTTCCTTGTTTGGTCATTCCTCACTGTGACTAGACTTGCTTGCCACCTTCAGCTTTGGTATATTATCCAACATAAATTGCTCTCTCCATGATTTTTTTTTTTTTTTTAAACCTAGGTTCTAAGGCCCTGGAATATTCCAACGGGATTTTTGATTGCCAGTCTCCCACCTCCCCGTTCATGGGAAGCTTGCGAGCTCTGCACCTTGTGGAAGACCTGCGCGGGTTGTTAGAGATGATGGAAGCGGATGAGAAGGAAGGCTTGAGGTGCCAGATCCCAGACTCCACGGCGGAAACGCTCATCGAGTGGCTGCAGAGTCAAATGGTAGATGTCTGCTTGTTACAGGTCCCGCACGGTGAACCTTCTGTTGCTTATTCCAAAATTTAGAACGTAGAATAGCTGATCAGAACAGGAAAAAACAGTCATAGGGCAATAGGTTTGCCCTGATTTTATCCCTTAAGAGATACTGATTCCCTTTTGACCCTAAGGATAGTTTTTTTTTATATATATATAATTTATTCTTGGCTGCGTTGGGCCTTCGTTACTGGGTGCGGGCTTTCTCTAGCTGCGGCGAGCGGGGGCTACTCTTTGTTGCTGCGGTGCGCGGGCTTCTACCTGCGGTGGCTTCTTTTGTTGCGGAGCACGGGCTCTAGGCGCGCAGGCTCAGTAGCTGTGGCGCACAGGCTCAGTTGCTCTGCGGCATGTGGGATCTTCCTGGACTAGGGCTCAAACCCCTGTCACCTGCATTGGCAGGTGGATTCTTAACCACTGTGCCACCAGGGAAGTCCCAGAATAGTTTTTTTTTAAGTGCTGTTAGTATACATTTCATGAATGCCAGCTGGTCACCTGATTTTACCCATAAAAGTGGACTAGCTTTTCAGTTGTGCTTGAATGACCTGCTGTGGCTTAAAACCAAATAGTCCTGTGAGGGAAAGAACAGTTGCACTTAATAGATGCTTTCCTGGTAGTACTGGGAAGTTTACTGTAAAAGGACCCTGTAGCAATTCAAAATAAGGAGTGCAGTGAATAGATACTTCTAATAACAAGGGAGGTTGGTAGCAGTAGCTGATGTCAAGTGCCATCTAGTGGTTGTGGCAGTCATTTCAGTTCCAGTGCCTGAGTTAAGCTGTGGATTGGGCTTTAAATGGTGTTCTTATTCACTGAACAATGAGCCTCTTTCTAGGCATCCGGCAGATCTGCCCTTTCCCGGGACATAGTGGTAAATACCGTGGTTTTAGTATGTGTTAAACACGTAAAATCTAGAGAATATCACAAAAATATTCAGAAGAGAAAGTAGAAAAGGTGTTTATTTTGTAAGTATTTAAACGATATTCAATTTTTAGGAAGATGCATGAATAAGCCTAGAAGTTAATTGTATCAATATTTATATAAAAGGTAATGAAAATTGTATGAAAGAATCAAGATCTGTTTTTGGTCTGTGGTGGAAATGTAAGGTGTTCGCTTTGGGAACCTTAATAGTACATCCTACGACTAAAGCATTTTCATGTGATGTGACACAAATAGCGGTGTTCCCACCCAGTCCCGTGCTGGACCTTCTTACCTTTCCGGCCAATATATTGTACCTTCCCATTTCAAGCGCAAACAGTACGATCCATCTTTTAGTGGTGGTGCAGCTATGCAACCTTGATAGTTAGAGATAGTTTACTTTTTATAATACACAGTGCCTCATTATTGTACTTTATAATTGCTCTGCAAGTTTCTCCTCTAGAGATTTAAGTATCCAGGTTTGCTGATTTCTTTGGAGAATTGCTTCATGCTCTGAAGCCAGACATTTCCTAGCATATTCCTTAGGCTATTTCTACTTCCTCTCTCACCCCTTCTTTACTCCATGTTTTCCTGACCATTCGGCACGTAATAGGAAAGGAACTTACGCTGGTAGAGGAACCCATTCCCAGCCAGCATCGAGGCAGCCAATGGCAGCCATAGCTTGAGAGTACTGTGGTTGAATTTTTCACTTGTGTCCAAAACATTTCCATTAATATGTGCTCAGTCTGTTCTGTTACAGTATTTCTGGAAAAGATTGAAAGTGGTGATGATGGTATCTGAACCTAAATTATGTCATTCATACCTTTTCCAGAAACTTCCAGTGATAGTCACAGCTCACTGAGAGAAGCCAAAGTACTTGCTGGATTGCAAGGGCTTTAGGACTTACTCCTCACTGCTTTCTGACCTAGTGTCTCATTGCACTTCCCCTCTTTCACTCCACTTCAGGCACATGGGATTTCTCACTGATTCTACAACATGCTGGGGAAACTGGCCTCAGGGCCTTTGTACTGGCTGTTCACTCTGCCTGGAAAGTGCTTTCCTCGGATATCTGTATGGCTAGCTTTCTTGCATTCTCCTTTAAAAGTTGTGCTCTCAGTGAGGCCTTTCCTGGCCACCCTATCTAAAATTTCACTTATTTATTCTTCGTAGTATATCTCCCTGCTTTATTTTTTTCTAAAACTCACCACTTTCTTACGCAATGTGTATTTGCCATATTTATGTGTATTTTCTATCTCTCCAACTGGAATGGAAGCATCATGAATCAAAGATTTTTGCCTATGTTTAAAACAAACCAAAAGTGTATCGATGTTGCCTAGAACAATGCTTGGCACTTAGTAGGTGGTCAGTAATTATATTTGTGATGAATGATGCTCCATGAATGATAAAATGGCATATACATTTGGATGAACTGAGGTTATTTATTGTGTTAAATTTATTCTTTGGGTGCATAATGGCTTGTTAATTTGTGTTTTGGGTTGCTCTCTATCTTAATATTTGACATTTTAAAGTTAAGTAGCCACAAAATGACAAATACTTTACATACCTTACAAAGATTCAGTTTTCATCCAAAAAATGACGATAAAAAACTAGATGTGAGTCCAGAGAGGTAAGTTTTTGGAGGGTTAAACTTATTTATATTTGTCCAACTGATTTATATCTGTCCCCTCACGTGGACCCCAATCCTTCCAAGTTACATGTATTTTCTCAAGCATGTAGAAAATGAAAAAATAAAAGAAGAAAGATGGCAAAGGGCAAAGCCCAAAGCAAGAAGGGGAGAATGGGAATGAGTGTTTGGAATAATGAAGGCATAGGTGTGACATGAATAGTCAGAGCTTACCCTGTAGCAGACTTTAATTTTAGATCCGATAGGTAGAGGGTCTTAAGGCTTGCAATTTAATGATTTGCTGATAGGATAGCTTTCTCCCATTTTAATATGTCAGAAGTTGTGATGTGTCTTATGATCTTAAAAGAGGTATCTATTATACACGTTTTAGCTGGGATTGTTTCTTTCTTTAAATAGTAAGGTACCTAGAGTAGTCAAATAAATTCATGGAGACAGAAAATAGAATAGTGGTTGCCATGGGCTGGGGTAGGGAGGAATGAGAAGTTAATATTTAATGGGTACACAGCTTCAGTTTTGCAAGATGAAAAGAGTTCTGCAGATGGATGGTGACGATGATTGCACAACAATGTGAATGCACTTAATGCCACTGAACTGTCTACGTAAACATGGTTAAATTTGTAAATTTTTTTTTTTTTTTTTTTTTGCGGTACGCGGGCCTCTCACTGTCGTGGCCCCTCCCGTTGCAGAGCACAGGGCTCCAGACGCGCAGGCCCAGCGGCCATGGCCCACGGGCCCAGCCGCTTCATGGCATGTGGGATCCTCCCGGACCGGGACACGAACCCGCGGCCCCTGCATCAGCAGGTGGACTCTCAACCACTGCGCCACCAGGGAAGCCCCAAAATTGTAAATTTTTATGTGTGCTTTACTCTAATCAAAAATTTTTAAATTAATAATTTGATAAAATTTAATGGCATCTTAGAATTGGAGGAACACAGAATCCTACGAATTGTATTGTACATGGGATAATCATCAAAATAACGAATAAAGGAGATCCTGTCGTAAAAAAGCCGTGAATGATAAAGAAGGCAGGGCTGTAAATTGGCAGTTACAAACGCTGGCTCCGGAGACAGCAGACTTGAACTTTATTTTTATTTTTTTTTTTTATTTTTTTTGCGGTACGCAGGCCTCTCACTGTTGTGGCCTCTCCCGTTGCGGAGCACAGGCTCCGGACGCGCAGGCTCAGCGGCCATGGCTCACGGGCCCAGCCGCTCCGCGGCATGTGGGATCTTCCCGGACCGGGGCACGAACCTGTGTCCCCTGCATCGGCAGGCGGACTCTCAACCACTGTGCCACCAGGGAAGCCCCAGACTTGAACTTTAAATGTTGGCTCTGACTCTTAGAAGCTTGTAGGATTTGGGGAAATTTTCTTAAGCTGTTTGTCTCAGTTTCCTCATCTGTAAAATGGGAGTGATGGTTTCTGCCACACAGGGTTATGAGGATCCCACAAGCTAATGTATGTTGAGTGTTTGTCGGTGAGCCTGGTGGAGCGTTAGTCAAAAAGGTAATACTGAAGAGTGGATTGTAGAGAGCAAGGGAAACGTTTAACAGGACCCTCTGCAATGAGGGAAAGAAAGGGTTGAGTCCAGTTACAAGGGAGGTTAGGTTACAAATTATTTCTACAGTTTACTTCTTTGATAAAAGAGTATAGATATTTCCCAGACAATGGGGAAGCTTCCACAACATTTTAGAAAAATTTATTAATGATACTAGTTACGTAATTAAGATTTCATTCATGTTTAATGATGGCCAACTTGGGAGTCCATGTACTTGACTGACTGATGCTAATCTACTCATTAGTGCAACTGGGCATTTGAATTTCTAACCCTTATTTTACCCAAGCCAGGAAGATCCCCTGGTTTCCTGTAGGGTGCAGGTTATTCCTTCACTGCTGATTTCTGCTGCCTGTTCAATTGTTTCATATGATCAGAAGCTGGATAAGAAAAAAGAAAATAGTAACACTAGTAGCTTGTTAGAGTGAAGGGTATTAAATCTACAAGAATGAATTTGTTTTAATCAGGTAGCTATACCTATAGCCTTCTAGGAATGAATAAGTTTCTTTTAGGACTTGGAAGTCTGTCTCCTGTGGTTAAAAAAAAAATCAATTGAATACAACATAGTTGTTCAATAACTGAGGTATAATTCTCTGTTTTGATTGTGAAATGTGGTGTGTTAACACAAATATTAATAATGGAGAATTATGTGCTTCATCCAGCTCAGAGTTTAAGAGAGGAAATAGAAAAATATGTCTGACTGTTTGAGCCAAACAAGTAGTTTTTGTTTACTTTCGAGCTAACTCGATGAATTGCCCTAGAACATTCTTACAATGCTTTTTCCAGTAGATGGAGCTGAGGTTCATGACCTTCACCAGATCCTGAAATCCCAAAGTGTCTGATCATTTGGCATTTTTAATTAT